GACCTCTATAAACCCAACACGATGTCAGTCCCTTTGGTGTTCAGTTTAGACAGGTTACTGTATACATGACCTCTATAAACCCAACACAATGTCAGTCTCCTTGAACATTTTGAACATTCTACTAGCAGAAAATAATTTTGGGCAGCTGAAGGACTACTACCAACTTTGTTGTTTTTATATTATAACATTTGTGAAAAGGCATGTGAAAGCTGTCCGGAAATACAACTTACTTGTGATGCGGATGCTGCTGAGGTTTTGGCATTACTGATCCACATCTGTTGGAACTGAACACGAATTTCAGCAAATACTTCAATAATAACCGCAATAAATACATTCTGAAAACAAAACAATCAAACTGTATAGTTGTTTTATATTACTTGTTATTAGAAATATAAAGTTATAAGATAGCAATGTGACATCATGAGTAGCCACAGTTACTATGACACAAAAAATCCAAAATGGCTGCTGAGACTTAAGAGGATGTAAAAAATTGCTTCCTACCTTAACCAGCCAAGCAAGAAAAAATATCATGGTAGTGAAGAAGAAATATCCCCTCCATGATGGAAAAGCATCCATAACTCTGTACATCATAAAAACCCATCCTTCTTGGGAAGCTGTCTCATACACGGTAAAAACACTAGTACCTAATTAACATAAAATAATAATAATGATAATAATAATAATAATAATAATAATAATATGCATCTCATTACCCTATGACCTACACTATGCCATACATGTTGAATAATTATGTGCATCTCATTACCCTATGACCTACACTACACCATACATGTTGAATAATAATATGCATCTCATTAACATATGACCTACATTATGCCATACATGTTAAATAATGTGCATCTCATTAACCTATGACCTACACTATGCTATACATGTTGAATAATAATGTGCATCTCATTAACCTATGACCTACACTATGCTATACATGTTGAATAATAATGTGCATCTCATTAACCTATGACCTACACTATGCTATACATGTTGAATAATAATGTGCATCGCATTACCCTATGACCTACACTACACCATACATGTTGAATAATAATATGCATCTCATTAACCTATGACCTACATTATGCCATACATGTTAGATAATGTGCATCTCATTAACCTATGACCTACACTATGCCATACATGTTGAATAATAATATGCATCGCATTACCCTATGACCTACACTATGCCATACATGTTGAATAATAATGTGCATCTCATTACCCTATGACCTACACTATGCCATACATATTGAATAATGTGCATCTCATTACCCTTTGACCTACACTATGCCGTACATGTTGAATAATAATGTGCATCTCATTACCTTATGACCTACACTACACCATACATGTTGAATAATAATGTGCATCTCATTACCCTATGACCTACACTATGCCGTACATGTTGAATAATAATA